GAATATTCTAGAAACAATTATGGAGATCTGTACATGAAGCAGATTCAGAAAGATCCTTATAATGCATGTCCTTAGTAGGGATGAGTTTTGGCTTTGATGCTACCATGGGTTCGAGATTTGGAGTCTCACAACCCATGGAGAAGGTAATTGAGTAGCTGACAAGGCTTTTTACCTCCTCTCAGGTACAGAGCAGCCAGGTGTCTGCAACTGCTGCTAATGCATCCTCTTCTGGCCATTGTCTCTCAAATATGCAATGAGGTATTGATGGAATTATTTCACCACACTGTCATGACTTGCTGCAGGAGGATAATCTTGGTCCTGCACAAGTATACCTATTTTCAAATATCAAGGATAAGGAAGATAGTGCCACGACTATAGAGGTAGGAGACATCAGACATGGAGCAGTGATAAGGCCAGTGACATTCTAACAGCTAGAGCTTAGTGCCAAGTGGACTCCAGCAATATGGAGTGGTGGATGACAAGGTGGCAAACCTTCCAGTGATGCCACCTATTGAAGAGCAGTAAAGTTCCGAGGGAAAAGCAAAAAAAAGCAGCTAGAGAAGATTTTGTCCAGAGACAGGGGCAGCTTGTTTGCAGAGAATTGGAAGGAACAGCAATCCTGGTCCTTATTTAATGTATCTGCTGCCAATAGCACCATTGTGGTTTCCCACGTTAGCCTGCAGTGGTATTTGGGCACTACATGCATCAAGAGGCACATGACTCTGCACCAGAAGCAGCACCTCAATGCAACAAGTCGGCAGCAAAAGGCACGCTCTCCTGCTTCTCGTTCCCCACATTCCAAAATCCCCTCCCACCCCCTCACCAGATTCTCCTGCTGCATCTGCCACAACATCTGTGGCCTCAAGTGACAGGGAGGGAAGTCTCACAGGGGGTTTCAGAACCTTAGGATATGCCATGTCAAACCGGAAAGAGGAGTCTTGGGGTCAAGCGAAGGCTTGAATCTCTGCAGAATTCTTCTACACCAACCCTGCTGTCTCCAGCAGCATCCTTCCCAAAACAGGTGTTTCACGTACAGCTGATGGAAGAGAAGAGAAAAAAAGGCCCCAAATCACCTCCAAGCCCAGAGTCTTAATGCAAGCTTGGCAGTTGCTCTTATTCCCATTTGTGGAATCAATCCCCTTTTGTGAGTTTATAGCCTGTGCTACACCACAGTGACATTTAACCAGCCACCATAATTTAGCCCAGAAAGCCATCCCCTCTCCACCAGCATGTGTCTGTGTCACTGGACTAAGATTACAGAGTCAGGACATGTGGTCCAGCAAACATAAGTAGGTATGCTATATTTCCTTCAATGCACACTGGGTCAGTCTGTTGGAGGCTGGGAAGGGTGCAGGATGGCACACAACTGGATCTGGAGGTGACTCCACCCATTGGCCTCATTTCCTGGCTCGCCTGAGCCACCAGTCCTCCCAAAACACCCCAGAGCATAGGCAACAACTTAGACTAAATGCTGCCATTCTGTTTTTCAACTGGTATACCTAGATGACAGGAGCTACACTGGGCCTGACCTTTTGTCAGCATTCTAAGCCCAGGGTGAGATATAGGTGACCCCACACCATCTTCAGCTAGGTAAGGTCATGTCAGACAATGACACCAACCTTTTGGCCACCTTTTGCCAGAGAAAATTCACACACGTGTCTTGCCTGGCATATGTTCCTAACCTGGTGATACAGGGGTTCCTGGTTACAAACTCTGGCTTCCAAACGGTTCTTTATTAGGCCAGAAGTGTTTGTAGCCACTTTAGGCAGTCATCAAACACAACTGTGACACCCCGACGTGTTGGTACTTAATGCTGACCATGCTGCAGAAGCTGCACCATCAGCAGCTTGTCATAAATGTGCATCTGTGCAATTACAGTACAAGGACAGCCTTTGGATTGCTGGAGTTCTTTTCACCGTAGCAAGCAGCATTTAGGCACCAAGGGACATACCTCATTACTAGTAAATAACATGTCTAAAGCTGTAGACTAAAAATATATTTTAGCTAAACTTCAGCTTTAATGGTTTCCTTTTTTCCTTCACTTTAAAATTGGGGCTAGGATGTCTTTTGGGGCCCATTTACATTTGTGCAGTGCATTAAAGCACGTGTGTTATGTCACATGTTAACATCTATTGCATTAAGGGAGCCCAATGGAAGCCACTGGTTTTCCAAATATCAGACATGTCAAAAAGGTTTTACTATAATGTAGCATGGTGCCTTGCCATGCAGTGCAGCATTATCTTACTGTGTTAGGTAGGGGCGGCGGACTGACAAGTCATGGAGCCCCCGGGCAATAAAGGATCATGGGGCCCCTGTGTCCTTGCCCAAACTCAAAAAAGCCTATGAAAAAGGTACCAGGGGCATCTCATGGGGCTCCCTACTGACCCCGGGCTCTCGGGCAGTGCCCAAGTTTCCAAATGGTCAGTCCGCCCCTGGTATTAGGGTGCTATTCAGAATTAATTGCACAACAATGCTTCAACACATGTAACGTGCATGGCCGTGCATTGCTTCAATGCATGGATTTAATTTAGCCTTCAATATTACTTCAAACTAAGGCCCCATTTACCTTGCTATGTTTTAATGCATGTTCCCAACTTTCCCACAATTAAAATAGTGCCTGTTACCATCTCAGCACTTCAGTGCAGTGCACTTTTAAAAGTACAACGTATTCATTTTTTGTTTTTGCATTTTAGTGTATTGGGAGACCCATAGACCTCAATGTATATAGACCTTTTCTATATACATTGATGCTTGCAAATGTTGGTATGTTTTTGCACATGCTAATGTTTTTAATTTGGAGTGTGTGAATAAATTGTAAGGCTCCATGCACACGGGGTGTTTTGATAACACTGGTAATGTTAGTTGTGTACAGTCACGTTAAAAATGTTAGTTTTTCAGCTTTTTAGTGTTTTTTCATAAGTGTTTAGTGACGTTTTGCCGTAATTACCGGCGTTTTCCACGTTTGCATTTTTTTTTACCAAAAAAGTCCAAAAACGCTGCATTTTGCCATGTTTTTCAGCATTAGAGCGTTTTTTACAGCTAAAAAACTCCTCTAGAAACCCACTAGTTCTGGGTTTTTTATTTCCATCCAAAAAACGCCCCAGCCAAAAAACGTTGATTACAGTCTATGTGTACGGACACATAGGATAACATGCTGCGGGGGTTACTGGCTGTAGAAAAAAAACGTTAAAAGCCAGAAACAGCCACTGTAAAAACGTCCAGTGTGCATGAGGACCTAATAAAGGTGAAGTACTATGGGGTGTTTTCTCCTATATGGTTACCAGGGGCGGACTGACCGAGGGCCCGGGGTCAGTAGGGGGCCCCATGAGATGCCCCTGGTATCTTTTTCATAGGCTTTTTTGAGTTTGGGCAAGGACACAGGGACCCCATGAGCCCCTATTTCCCGGGGGCCCCATGAGTTGCCAGTCTGCCCCTACTTACACCCCCTATTTCTGTCCACATTTGTGTACATATTTGTTCTAAATTGTCCTCAAGTTTACAGTTTCCTTGGGCATCCCATGTACCCCTAGGCCCTATCCAAGTTGTTAACCCCTTAATAAAGCAACAAAACCAAGCTCAAGGACTGTTTACGGTCTCCGGTGTGCAAAGTGTGGAAGTAAATGCGTGTTGCCTGACTGTACAGAGCTTTAGGGGGACCCAAAACTCAACAACTCCTAAGGGGGTAGTGTTACATTAACATGGTGGTCACCACAGGTCAACCATCTTTATTAATTAAACAAACTTCCTGCTCCAACACCTCCTACTCTTTATTAAAGTCCATAAAGCGGAGATTTCATAACATTTTCTCCCTTGCTAGTACAGAGGCTGCCTGCCACAGATACAGCTCAATGCACACTGACAATACAAGCTCAGTCTATGGGATGTATTTTTGGGAATTTATTGCAGAAAACTTGAACAGGGGGAGGGGTGTAGGATACTCCAAAATATCAGGAGAAATTAACAGGAAGACAAGCGTCTTAGTTTAAATTCTGTAGCAGTAGCCTTGACTGGAGATAATATGAAATGGTCAGTAACTCTCAGTCTCTGTAAGAGCAGACGCAGGCCATACAATAACACCAGGTACTCATTTTCCTCTAGCAGAGGGCACACCCAAGAGTCCAAAACTAGGTCTTATTCACAATGTCCTAGGAGATATCTGTTACCCAGCATCCACAGGTAGTTCCTCAGTGAGGGAAATTAAAGATCATTCTCCTGACCAAGACTCCAGAATGATGCCCTCCTGCAAAAGTCTGTTAGCAATCTTCTCTAGGCCATCACCCCAGCACTTGCTGAGGACCAAACAGCAATTCTAATCGCACTCGAGCTTCCTCCTAGGGGCAGCAGCCCCATGAAAAATGGAACACTCCTTAAAGATAAATGAACCTCCTGGAAAGGCCTCCCTTAACCACTTCCTGTCCGGACACTTTTACCCCCTCCTGTCCAGGGCAATTTTTAGCTTTCAGCGCTATCACACTTTGAATGACAATTGCGCGGTCATGCAACACTGTACCCATATGAATTTTTTACCATTTTTTTGAGACAGATAAAGCTTTATTTTGGTGGTATTTATTCACCGCTGGGATTTTTTATTTTTTTACTATGTAAATGTAAAGTTCAAAAATTTTGAAAAAAAGTGTTTTTTTAAATAAAATTTTGCAAATAAATAATATTTCATCATAAATCTTAGCCAAAATTTATTCCGTCATTTTTTTAGTAAAAAAAAAAAAATCCAAATTAGTTTATAACCAAAAATTATAATTTTTAAACATTTTTTTTTACATTTTATTTTATTTTTTTTATATTATTATTTTTTATTTTATTTTTTTTTTTTACATACTGTCACCCTAGCAGTACACTGTCACCATGGTGACAATGTACTACTTGTGGAGGGTGATGAAGATTTTTTTTTTTTTTACACTGATTGCTTTTACACCCCATATAGGATGTAAAAGCAATCATTTCTCTTTCTCTCTGTCTGCATTCCTGCAGTCATTGAGAATTACTGAGTGAGCTGTGAGTGGTCACAGCTTGTCACATGGTACAAGGCTGTTGTGAATAGCCTTGTACCATGTGACCTCTGTGATCATTCACAGATTTCACACGTAGTAAGCAATGATGTCACAAGTGACATCTTGCTTACTACTTCGCATGTGATCACTGATTTGCCAATCAGTGATCACATGATCGGGACCTCGTACAGAGGTCCCGTCCGACGATCGGTGTTTCACTGTGTCCGGAGGACACAGCGGGCACCGGATCGCGGTGGTGCGCGCTCCCAGGGAGCGCGCACAGCTAGAAAAGGTGGGTGCCGTTTATGGACGGCAACCCGACCCTGGACTGCCACCGCCTTGCCGTTTATAAACAGCAGGCGGACGGCAAGGGGTTCATTTATCACCTCCTCAGCCACATTCTGGATGCCCTCTTCCACGGATTGGCTGAGGCAAGATAAATATTCATCACTGGATATCTGACTCACCCTGCCCTATATTCTGGTAGCTTCTCCCAGAAGCAGTTAGAAGAAACCAAATACCCAGCTAGCAATCCCTGACCAGACAGAAACAATAGATCACTGCTTCACTGACTACAATGAGGCAAAAATGTAATTTAGTCTAGCAGCCCAACTAGAGGAGGATGCTACACACAGAACAAAACAAATACATAACACTGGGAAGAAGATAATGGCAGCTAGCGAGGGATGGAAGGTGGAGGTGAGTATCTTGCAGTTTGGTTCCACCATAAGCTGGAACTACACTGCATCTGAGCAGCACAAAACAAAAGCACTATTTAATTAATTTGCAATATTCAAAGCAAACTCCCCCATCCATCCATCCATCCATCCATGTCTCCATGCTTTATTTTGCTGAGAAATCACTTTGAAAAACACCCGCCTAGCATTTCTGGCCGTAGATATCTTACGTAAGGGCAAATTAATTTACTTCCTGGAATCTGCAAGCCATTTGCCCTTACCTCAGGCGGAAGGGTGTGCTTAGCTGAAAAAGCCCCTCCTTCCCCCTAGAGACTCCAGGGATCTATGATATCATTTGCCTAGGTATGGAAACCAGGAAGCAACTGAAGAAATGTAAGAAGTTTAAAACAAAAAAAAATGATATACTTTCCTATTTGCTAATGCTAGCAACATAAGGATTCAAAATAATCAATGTTGATTGAGTGAGTGAGGATCCGATTTAAAGTGGAATTAAACCCATCGATTTGTTTCAAAAAACAGCTACATTCAAGGCATGATAACTGTCACATTTGCTTGTGCTCCTAGCCTACCTGTCAAGCCATCAAGTAGCTGGAGTCATAACTGGCCTCATATTATTATTATTATACAGTATTTATAAAGCACCAACAGTTCGCTCAGCGCTGTACATTACAAAGGGGGACAGAACATGTGACAGAACAATACCAATACAATGCAAAACATGAGGGGATTGAGGGCCCTGCTCTATCGAGCTTACAATCTAGGAGGGAGGGGATGGTGGCACAGGAGGAGAAAGCTGTGGAGGATGGAGTGGTAGGAAGAGTGGAGGAGGTCGGCAAGTTAGCAGGGGGTGGGGTAGGCTTCCCTGAAGAGATGGGTTTTCAGGGTGCGCCTAAAGGAGAGGAGAGTAGGTGATAATCTGATGGGTTGGGTCAGGAAGTTCCAGAGGATGGGTGACACCCTGGAGAAGTCCTGGAGGCGGGCATTGGAGAACTAGAGAGAAGGAGGTCTTGTGAGGAGCGGAGTGTGTGTGCTGGGCGGTACTTGGATATTAGGTCAGTGATGTAGTTCGGGGCAGTGTGGTGGACATCTTTGTACGTCAGTGTTAGGATTTTGAATTTGATCCATTGCGCAATCGAAAGCCAGTGGAGGGATTGGCAGAGGGGGGTGGCGGAGATGGAGCGATTGGAAAGGTGAATGAGTCTGGCTGCCGTATTCAGGATCGACTGAAGCACCAAGGCAATTGCAAATCAAACAGAGACTACAATGGCTGCTTCCTTGGCTGGAAAGGATAGCAGGGTTTAGTTTCGCCTTAATCTATGGCGTAGGGATTGGTTATCATTCTTGGTGGATTAGTCACACAATCTCCTTCAGCAATGAATGTGAGTTTCCTTAGAAATGATTGCAGCCTTAGGGCAGCTATACTTGGATCAAAATTCGAATTTCAATCCATGTATGGGCAAGCTGGTTGTACACAAGCTGATATATTGATCGACTTTTGTACAACCAGCCTGTTGTTTTTTTTTCCTGAACATTCAGTGCTGCCGGCTATAGTCAGCAGCACTGATCATTGTATTCTGATGGCTGAGAAGTCTCCCTGCTGTCAGAATACAATGGTGCAGCAGGAGTGATTCTCTCATCTACTGTACATGGAATGTGTGGTTGGGGGAATTGGATCCTTTTTTTTTTGTTCAACTCCCTGGTTGAATGAAAACAAATGATTAATATATGGCCAGTCATATTTGACAAAGACCACCTGACCAATTCCACAAAGCTGGTCACATGATTGATCATTACAGGGACTTCCACTCTACAAAACACAGTTTTTTTCTAACCTTTTATGACTGATCATTATGAATAAAGTGGTAGTAACTTGTACCTACAGGTAAGCTTAAAATGAAACTTACCTGTAGGTACAAGGAATTTCTACGCTGAGCCCATGTGACCCTCGGTGGCCATCTTTAGTCAGCAGGGTCTATTTTAAGTCCCTGTTTTGGTGCGCTTCTGGCATGTAGTTAGTGTAGGAACAAAGAATTGTTAGGGAAAGTAACTAGCGGCAGGAAAAGGTTCCTGGTGAGGAGAGAAAGATGGGGACTCTTTATCCTGGAAAGGAGCTTCCCTCTTGGGACTTGACCAACCAGGTTGCAATTCAGCCTCTGGAACAGGCGCTGTCGGCACCTCTCCTCTACATCGGACTACAGCGTACTGTGAGTTATTTCCCTAGTGGTGCTCTCACACCTGGTTGTTCGGAACATTGGCATTCTGTTTAATACAAGTTTGAAGTTTTACCGCAACAAGAGTCTATGTATTCAATGCCCGCACCACCACACACAGGAATGATGTCATCGAGGCTTGGCCATTCAAACAGTGAAGCCTGTAAACCCTGAAGGAAGATCGGGTGAAGCTGGAAGTCCTGTCAGTGGTGACAGTGCGCCGCTGGAAGGCTTTGTTTTAAGGTAAGTCTTCCATAATGTGCTAATATGTGATGCACACCAGCACATTATGACATTAACCGCTTTCCCGCCGCCCTATAGCAGAAAAACTGCTACAGGGTGGTGAGGGTGCACAAAATCATGTGTGTGTGTATATATATATATACGTATATTTATATGTGTGTGATTTTGTATTTCCAGGTAGGGTGAGCGCGCAAGCCACCTTACCCGCACCACCATTGGCATCCTCACCTGTCGATCACCGGGTGCCGGCGGGGAATTACCAATGGAGGAGAGACCTGTATATAAAAAATACAGATCTCTCCCCTGTCAGCTCCTGAATACTGCTTTGTGTGGCTCTGCATAACACATCCATACAAAGCAATGTGCTTACACAGTAAAGCACAGACAGCACATAGTAAAACAGCACAGAGTTAACCCTTTGATAGCCCCACATGTTAACCCCTTCTGTCATCAGTACAGTGTCAGTGCTTTTTATTAGCACCGATCACTGTATTGGTGTCACTGGGGATGTCAGTGACAGTCATTTTCCCCCCAGTGTCAGAATGCCCGTCGCAGTCCCGTTATAAGTCGCTGATTGTCGCCATTACTAGTATAAAAAAATTCCAGTATATATACCGCCATTTGTAAACGCTATAACTTTCCCGTAAACCAATTCGTTTACACGTATTGGGATTTTTTTTTAGCACAGACATGGAGCAGAATACATTTTGGCCTAAATTTATGACGAAATTTGATTTTTTTAAATTTTTTTACTGGACATGTTTTAACCAGAACAGCTCGTCCCTCCGGGTGGACGCCATATGGCATCCTTTCAGGCATGGAGCAGTGCACCTGCCCGCAGGGCCGCTCTGCGGAGCGATCTGTCACCGCCCGTGTACCCCATTTCCAGTACCATGTGACCTGTTGTGACCCCAATCACAGCAGGTCACATGATAGTTGTATACAATGGATGGCTCGTGTGTCTAGCTGTGAATGGTCACAGTGATCACATGCACAAATCACAGCCCAGCTGTGTCATGTGATTAGCCGTGGCCAAATCACAGCTAAGCACAAAAAAAATAAACCCTGAATGAATCGATGTCATTCAGGTAAATGCTTGCTTATAGCAAAGTAATTCTTTGCTATGAGCAAATTGTGTAAAAAAAAATAAATACTGATCACTTCCCCAAAGTAGTACAATGCTACTATGGTAACATTATACTACTTTCGTCATAGTAAAATATGAAAAACAAATCTTAAAAAAGAGAACAAAATGTAATAAAAAATTAAAACTAATAAAAAATTTAAAAAAATGTAAATTTTCTTTTTTTCGTACTGGCACAAGTCAGTGTCCCTGATCACCGCCATGCCAGTTATATGATGACGCTGTACTGCACTGGTGACAGTATGTAAAAAAAAATAGTGAAAATAATTTTTTTAAATTTTTTATTTTCCGAAAAATTATGACAACAAAATTACAACTTCAAAAAACTCGCCATGCCTCTTATAAAATACGTTGGACTGTCTACTTTGCAAAAAGGGGTCATTTGGGGGATATCTGTACTATTCTGACATTCTTGGACCTCGAGAAATTATATTGGCTGTCAGTACTTCAGGATTGATCAGTATTCAGAACTCTATAACTTTCCTACAGACTAAATAATACATCCTAATTTGGGTTATTGTCACCAAAGACATGTAGTAGAATACATCTCGGCCTAAATTTATGAAGAACAATTATTTATTTGCAAACTTTTATAACAGAAACGAAGAAAAAACGTGTTTTTTGTTTTCAAAATGTTTGGTCTTTTTTTGTTAATTTAGCAAAAAATAAAAACCCCAGCGGTGATTAAATACCACCAAAAGAAAGCTCTAGTTGTGTGAAGAAAATGATAAAATTTTAGTTTGGGTACAATGTTGTATGACCGCGCAATTGTCATTCAAAGTGTGAGAGCGCTGAAACCTGAAAAATGGCCTGGGCAGGAAGGGGGTAAAAGTGCCTGGTATGGAAGCGGTTAATAGCAAAAAGTCAAAAATTTGTTTTCTAAAAATTGTTGGTCTTTTTTTTTATAATGCAAAAAATAAAAACCACAAAAGTACCACTGAAAGAAAGCTCTATTTGTGGGGAAAAAAAGGGATGTCAATTTATGTACTGCGTTGCATGACTGTGCAATTGTCAGTTAAAGTAACATATTGCAAAAAATGGCCTGGTCAGGAAGGGGGGTATATCCTCTGAAAGACAAAGGGTTAATCTGCAGGGGGAAGTTTTTTTCTTTTTAAAACCAGACTTTACTACCGCTTCATAATATGCCAACATTCAACTAGAGATCTGCTAAAGATCAGAACCTCCTCACTCCTCATCCAATGATATTATTATTTTTATGTGTTGATTAGTGTATGCTCTTCATAATTCCGCCAGAACTACACTCTGAGCCCTCCCTAACATTTGTATCGCCCACGTGGCCCGTCACACAGCCTAGTGGCGCCTCTATGTCACTTCACCAAGTCGGAACTGAATGTAGACGGAACTGAAGATTCCGGGGCTGCGGACGGCTTTCCGTGTGCGCAACCATAGCGGAAGTGTGTGTTGTCGCACGTGGGTAGAAGTTGGAGCGGATGATATGGGGAAGGAGAAGGTGAGGGAGCAGAGAGTTGGGAAAGCTGTGTGTAGTGGAGGAGGGGGTCGTCAGTTGGGGTCCCTGCTGTGTATAATGAAGGCATTGCTGTGTGTAGTGGGGGTGTCATTAGTTGGGGGGGCTCTGCTGTGTGTAGTGAAGGGGTATGTCATTGGGGGCTCTGCTGTGTGTAATGGAGGGGGTGTCATTAGTTGGGGGGCTCTGCTGTGTGTAGTGGAGGGGGTGTCATTAGTTGGGGAGTCTCTGCTGTGTGTAGTGGAGGGGGTGTCATTAGTTGGGGGGCTCTGCTGTGTGTAGTGGAGGGGGTGTCATTAGTTGGGGGGCTCTGCTGTGTGTAGTGGAGGGGGTGTCAATGGTTAGAGGGAAGGTCTCCGCTGTGTGTAGTGGAGGGGGTGTCATTAGTTGGGGGGGGCTCTGCTGTGTGTAATGGAGGGGGTTTCAGTTGGGGGGGGCTCTGCTGTGTGTAGTGGAGGGGGTGTCATTAGTTGGGGGGATCTGCTGTGTGTAATGGAGGGGGTGTCATTAGTTGGAGGGGCTCTGCTGTGTGTAATGGAGGGGGTGTCATTGGTTAGAGGGAAGGTCTCTGCTGTGTGTAGTGGAGGGGGTGTCATTAGTTGGTGGGCTCTGCTGTGTGTAGTGGAGGGGGTGTCATTAGTTGGTGGGCTCTGCTGTGTGGAGGGGATGTCTGTTGGGGGGGGCTCTGCTTTGTGTAGTGGAGGGGGTGTCTGTTGGGGGGTCTCTGCTGTGTGTAGTGGGGGGGTGTCATTATTTGGGGGGTGTCTTTGCTGTGTGCAGTGGGGGTTGTCAGTTGGGGGGGTGTCTCTGCTGTTTGTAGTGGGGGTCATTAGTTGGGGGGTCTCTGCTGTGTGTAGTGGGTGGTGACAGGGAGTGACATTATTTGGGGGGGTCTCTGCTATGCGTAGGGAGGGTGACATTAGTTGGGGGGGTCTCTGCTATGCGTAGGGGGGGTGACATTAGTTGGGGGGGTTTCTGCTGTGTGTAGTGGGGGTGTCATTAGTTGGGTGGGTCTCTTCTGTGTATAGCGGAGGGGGTGAAATTTGTTGGGGGGTTTCCGTTATGTGCCGTGGGGGTGGTGACAGTTGGGGGGGTCTCTGCACAGTTGATGGTGTGACGTTAGTTTGGGGGTCTCTGTTGTCTGTAGTGGAGGGGGGGTGACATTAGTTTGGGGGGTCTCTGCTGTGTGTAGTGCAGGGGGTGACATTAGTTGGGGGGTCTGTGTGTAGTGGAGGGGGTGACGGGGGGGGGGTCTGTGTGTAGTGGAGGGGGTGGGTGACAGGGGGGGGTCTGTGTGTAGTGGAGGGGGTGACAGTTGGGGGGGGGGGGCCTGTGTGTAGTGGAGGGGGTGACAGTTGGGGGGGTCTATGCTGTGTGTAGCAGAGGGGGTGACATTAGTTGGGGGGTCTCTGCTGTGTGTAGCGGAGGGGGTGACAGTTGGGGGGTCTCTTGTGTGTAGTGGGGGGTGACATTAGTTGGGGGGTCTCTGCTGTTTGTAGTGGAGGGGGTGACATTAGTTGGGGGGTCTCTGTGTGTAGTGGGGGGTGTCATTAGTTGGGGGGTCTCTGCTGTGTGTAGTGGAGGGGATGACATTAGTGTGTAAAGTGCATTTTATTACTTTTCCCTGCATCAGTCGGTTGCGATGTCAGGCTCCATTTTTCTAGTGTTTCAGCTGATGAGATGTTTAGACCCGGTTCACGTATATGCGGCTGTGCGGGGCACGAGAGCCCATTCATTTGAATGGACTCCCGTGACACGCAGGGAACAAGTCCCCTGCACTTCTTCCGAAAACGCAGCCTGCACGGGAACCTCGGTTTCCAGTACGGTTGCGTTTTCTAGTGCGCGTGTCATTAGAACTAATGGCACCCGCCTGCGGGTCCGCATTCCTCTGTGCGGGTGGTGCGGCTGCACAGATTTTCGTGCGGATCCGCAGCGGCGCCACCCGCACAGATGTGAACCTAGCCTCATGGAGAAAACTTCTGTACAAAAGATGCAAATCTAGTGGGAATATTTCATAGTTTTCACTTGGACTGAAATGACATTCTGCTACACCTCTAAGGTCACTGATACAGCTGGTACTGTGTGTCTCATTGCTCTATGCACCATCCTTTTTTTCTCCAGACAAAGAACCAGAAGAAGCTGCGAGTCGCAGCCGTTCACAATGCAGAGGAAGAATATGCCAGCGTTCCTCACTCCTTTGTCTTCCATCGTGGCCAGGTTGGAAAGAGCTTACAGCAGCTGATAGAGGATGTCCGACAGGCGATGGAGCCATTCACAGCCTCCTCTCTCAAGGTAACAGGCCACATAGATAAACGTGTGCTGATTGGGTACTGAAGTGTCCAAGTTGGCTGTTTTGTTGGCATGTCATATTAATGTGAACATGTGAGGAAAGATTATCTTCTTAAAACATGGGTGCTTTCAGGCACCTTGTAATACCTTTTTCTTAACAAATAAATAAAATAAAACACATTATTTTTTTTTGTTAGAATATTTTAACATTCCAGATATGCCCTATCTGTAGAGGGCTTTCTGATAACCGGCAGTTTAGGAACAGTGTGTAGCCCTTTTCTGTATTAGTGGGGCTTTAACCGCAAACAGGACTTACCAAGTGTGTGAGATACGCAACATTATTCCATGAGGCAGAAAGCACAGGTTAGTACCTTAACCACTTGCTTACCAGTCACATTCCTGGTATGTCACCAGTCTTCAAGTGGTTGTACCAGGAATATGCCTGTAGCTGTAGGCACCCTCTCGGTACTGTTATTTACAGCCATTGGTTGGCTTTCTTCTAGTAGGAATTGGAGCGGCTAACTAGCCGCTCAATTGCTATTACAAGCAGCGGCCCCCCAGCTGCATCCTGTGAATTTAACAGGATCTACTGTCCCACCAGGAGTGCCATTTGACCAGCTGACGCCGGCTAGACATAGTGCAGAACAAAGACCGGATCAGCTTTGTTAAGCTCCAGTAAACGAGAAGCAATGACCTGCCAACCCTTTCTGGTTTACTCAGAAACAGTCAGCACCATTTTTAAAAAATAAAAGTCTTTAATCACACTGATCTTGGTGTGATTGAACACTATTAAGGGCAGAGGAGGGATTTGGGGTTTTATTGACCCCAGAACCCTCCATAAAGAGTACATGTCACAGCCCTATTGCTGTCACAAGGGATGTTTTACATTCTCTGTGACCGTAATAAGCGATCACAACATTTTTTTTTTATGTTAGTGTAAAAAAAAAAAAAAAAAAAAAAAAAGAGTGCCCCCATCCCCTTGTGCTTGGTGTAAAGGTGAATGCACACGTCAGTCCCGCACACATGAAAACCGCAATTGTTCCACACATGAGGTATCACCACGAATGCCAGATCATGGGCAGTAATCCTAGCACCAGACCTCCTCTGTAAATCCAAAGTGATAACCTGTAAAGGCATTTAAAGCGTTGCCTATGGCAATTTTAAAGCGTTGCATGTTTGGTATCTATTTACTTGGTGTAACATCTTTTTTTTTTTATATATATATATATTTAAAAATTGGTTATATACGATTTATTTGCATTGAAATCCAAAAAGCTTATTTTTTTCACACAAAAAATACGTTTCGAAAACCTCAGCGCAAATACTGTGTGACATAAAAAATTACAAAACCCACCAGTTTATTCTCTAAGGCATCTGCTTTAAAAAAAATATATAATGTTTGGGGATTTTAACAAATTTTCTAGTAAATTGTTACATGTAAACAAAAAGTGGCAGAAAAAGCCTGGTCCTTAAGTGGTTAAAGAGATCCTGTTGCTGATCTTTAATTTTAACAACATTACAATAGGATTATATGTGCATTTAAAGCCGAGCTCCAGGAATTACACAAACACCCTTACAGTGAGAAGCAACCAGTTATTCTGTAGTCCCTGTGCATTCTATTTACAGCTGTTGACAAGATCTCAGCCACATAGGGAGAGCATTGTTTGCAGTGAGTCTGCTAATTTAAAGTCTTACATTTTGAGAAGTGTCAGAAAAATACAACTATACAAGTGAGCAAATATGTCTGCCTACATGTACTTATATAACGAATTAATTACACATTGGGATAGGACTTTGTAAAGGATAGAATGCAGTAATAACACTAGTTACCCAGTCTTTTACAGATACGTCTAAAAATCATTGAAATGAGTACAGAAAGGTTAGACCAGTAATGTATGGTTATGTGATAATTCTGTAACTGCGCTGAGTGCCAAAAAAATCCAAACAAATTGTGAACCATAAAACAAACAGTGAAACAATAGCTGTACTCAAAAAAAACAAAACAAATACTCAGTAAGTGATATCCAGTTATTGTTGTGCTATTGATAATACTAATAGTGAGTCACTTATACTTTGTGCTTCTACCAATAATATTAACCACTTGCCTACTGTACCCCCTTCGTGCCCAGGTCAATTTCAGCTTTCGACGCTGTCGCACTTTGAATGACAATTACGCAGTCATGCAACACTATACCTATATGAAATTTTTATCATTTTTTTCACACAAATAGAGCTTTCTTTTGGTGGTATTTACTCATCACTGAGTGTTTTATTTTTTTTTTACTTTAAACAGAGCAAGAGCAAAAAAATTTGAAAAAAATTTTTTCTTTGTTTCTGTTATAAAATTTTGAAAATGGGTAAATCTCCTTCACCGATGTGCTTTTGAGGCTGCACTGATGGGCAGCACTGGGCACTGATGATGTGGTATGGATAGGCAACACTAATAGGCTGCACTGAGGAGGTGGTACTGGTGGGCACTCATGATGCTGCAATGATGGGCACTGGCGGGCGGCGCTGACTATGACAGCGTGAGGAAAGTGCTGCCGGTAACCGGCAACTGTATTTACTTGGTGATCTGCTGTGTCATTAGACACAGCTGATCATGTGGTAAAAGGCCGCTGTGATTGGAGATCACTGGGGGCACGCAGGAGGGTGAGTTCTGGGAGGACATCATAAGACGCCCTCACAAAACTGGATAACCGCACTGTAGCCGTCATTCGGTTATACCGCGGTAAGGATGTGGTTAAGTCAAAATTCACGAAAAACCAAACAGTAAAAGTCTTTTGATGACAAAATCCCAAATATGATGAACAGCTGTGTCCATAATAATCCTCCACGTGTGTGATGAAATAGAGATTCTTGTGCCCACCACCACAAAAAAACACACTGCTGCTTTACCAAATAGTTAGACCCCAGATTACAGGTGATCTAACAGAGCCTGATGTTGAACATATCTTGCTTGTTACATCCTAGATGGAAAAGAGGTGTCACAGATTTTGCTGGGTGGAAATTGTGCTGACGTCACCCACACCTGTCTGGAGCCGGCACCAGCAGCGATTGAATTTCATGCTCATTCGTCTTTTTGAAGTTTGTGGGTTTTTTTATTCATTTAATAAATCATTTGTACGTTATCGCACTATCTGGAGTATTATCCTTTTTGTCAGAGCACACAGCGGATCACAATAAGGGAGGAAGAAAGGAGGGGAGAGACCAAAATCTGTGACACCTCTTCCATCTAGAATGTTACAAACGAGATATAGTCAGCATCATGCTCTATTGTAGCATCATGCTATTGATAGCAGCACATTTAAAGTAAAAGTGACTCATTATTAGTATTTTTTATCAATAGCACAATATTACCGGATATCAAGTAGTGTATGATTGTGAAGATGGTAATCATGAAACAATGAATTATGTTCTAGGTTCGCAAGAAGAATAGCCTGAAAGACTTTGTTGCTGTGGCTGGTCCACTAGGAGTGACCCATTTCCTGATCTTCACCAAGACAGAAACCAATGTCAACTTTGTAAGTGATGATCTTATGATGCCTGTGTTTTGTGTATGAGTATGAATGCTTGTTTCTTTATCCAGCTTTGCATTAAAAAAAAGCATTAGTGCATGTAGAACCACTCAGTTTTAGATAGAAGAGTTAGAAAGCCTGTCATGTTTTATTGCTGTTTGTGTTTCTGCTGGGGACATTCACCCACCCTATTTGTACTTTGTCACCAAGCCAGAAAGTGATGGGAAACTAAACATTTTAGAGTTGTCACCAGATCAGTGTGTGGGGGGTAGTGTTCCATTGTGGAGATTCCAGTGACAACTGTCTAAGAGGGAAATTCCCTTCACTATATGTAGATTGCCTCTCCCTTCTTGTTGTAACTGTGGGACAGGAAATTTAATAAAACCCACCAAATGAAAGACGGGCTCCAAAAATAAAATTAACCGCTAGCCTACAGGGCACTTATACCCCCTTCCTGCCCAGGCCAATTTCCAGCTTTCAGCGCTGTCACACTTTGGCAATTGCGTGGTCATGCAACACTGTACCCATATGAAATTTGTATAATTTTTTTGTGACAGAGCTTTATTTTTGGTGGTATTTAATCACCTCGGATTTTTTACTTTCTAAAACCAAAAACTACAGAAAATTTTTTAAAAGAAGTTTTTTCTTAGTTTTTGTTATAAAATTTTGTAAATAAGTGATTTTTCTTTGTCACTGATATGCGTTAATGAGGCTGCAGTGATGGGCACTGATAGGCTGCAGTGATGGGCATTGACAGGCGGCACTGATGGGAACTGATAGGCGGCACTGACATGTTCCCTCCGCGGAAAGCTGATTACCGGCTCTCCTCTCGAGCTGTCAGTGTGACAGCTCGAGAGGAGAGAAAAATGCCGATAACCAGAAATTCCCTGTTTACATGTGATCAGCTGTGATTGGGCACAGCTGATCACATGACCGAGCCGACATCTTCGGCTATTTCCGTGATCGGTGATCTGCTGTGTCCGAGGGACACAGCGCACTGCCGATTGCTGCGCTGTGCGCTCCCTGAGCCGCACATGCGCAGTGAGAATGGGAGGACGTCATATGACGTCCTCCCAGAGCGAGAGCCACCTTGCATCCGTCATATTACTATATGGCGGGCGGGAGGTGGTTAAACACTTATCTACTCCATCTAAGAATAAAATGCTCCCGACAAATATACTGCAGCAACGGACGCAGGGGAATACGGCATTTGCTAGACAACTAGGGAGCTGGGACTGATTGATATGCATTTGGATGCTTCAGTCTCTATACATCAATGATTTTGCTATTCTAGCACATATCGGTCCTTATCTCATATTGACTTAGCACTGGGTATGGCTCCTGTCCTCCCTCGGGTTGAGTTGTCGTCTTATTGTCCCAGGGGTATCTCCGATCACTATGGAAGATTAACCCATTGTGGCTCACTTTGACTTGGGATGATTGTGAAGTATTGATATAAAAAAAATTTCTTAAAGACATTAATGGTGCATTTTCCAGTTTAATGATTTGGGATGCCAGGAAAGCATTTTTGAGAGAGGTGTTAATTAAGAACATTTCTTAGGTTAAGTGTTTCCTTCAGAAAGTGGAAGGAAACCGTGAAACGAGATAATAAAGGCAGAAGCACAGTACACCTCTAATCCTTGAACACTCAGAGTAGGTGGAGGGAAGCACAACTACTATATAAAAATATATCCATATCTGGGGCTTAAAATGAGCAATTTTTCTCTAACCAGTAATAAGTATTTAGAGGAAGGTGGGAACACAGGCCACCTGGCGGTAATTGTTCAATCAAAATATTATTCCCTAATAATTAGCGCCATAAAATCTAAAAATGATATAATTCTCTATCAAACAAATCTTTAAGCAGATAAGACCATCTGTATTTATGTCTTTAGTGTGTATTTAGCTGTCTGCCAGGGTTTTGCTTTAATAGGAACTAAAATGTCCTCTGGGATATACCAGAATATTAGAAAAAATGTGAATTACTTTAGATTTGTTTGCTTGTAAGAGCTTGTGGTAAATTGCAATTATTATTAATGCTATTCTTGCCTTTTTTTTTTTTTTTAAGAAATTTGTTCGTTTGCCTAGAGGGCCCACACTACATTTCAGAGTGACCCAGGTGAGCATCATAGCCCTTTCCTTCCTCCCTTCCACCTCTGAATAAGGATTCTAAAAGGGTTTGGAAATTCTGGTGCTATGTCACGTCATAAGTAAATGCAGTGTAACCTGCAGTCATCTCATCAGAAGGGTTTGGGCTGATAAAAGATACAAGTTTATGAACCTCTGACATGGGAGCAGATATTCAGACGCATCGCTGCAGGGGCAAAGTGCACTACATTTTAGATGAAATCTTCAGCTCTTTTCTGTGGGTTCTGGTAAAGAAGTAAAAAAAAAAAAAAAAAAAAATATGAACAAACAAATTAATGGTAGCTTCCTCTTAGAACAGCCATTCTCAGCCTTTTTACCTGGAGGAACCCTTGAAATATTTTTCAGGTTTTGTGGCACTCTTAAAAAAAAAAAAAAAAAAAAAAAATATGATACCTTCAGTTTGTACTCATGCTAATGTACCACAGTGTGTTTTAAATATAAGAATAATATGACATATCTTACACCCTGGGCAGGTCATTGTTGCATCCTCCTGTTTTGTACAACAATTTTTGTGATAATTTTCTAGTTAACTACTTAAGCTCTGGAAGGTTGTACCCCCCTTCATGACCAGGGCATTTTGTTTGCTGTTCAGCACTGTGCTACTTTAATAATAAAATGGAAACAGACCGCACATCAGTATTAAACATATAATCATGTGCATATATTTCAAGCCATGACATACAGCACACGTTGCCGTTAATAGTGTCCCAAATGGTGAAACAAGTGCACGTGTTTGTGCTCCAGCCTTATTGAAGTGCTTCATTTCTTCAGTCAAATCAAAGTGCTCCACTGTGCTCAACAAGGTGCCCCACATGGGCTAGAATTCGCCCTTAGCCGACAACCATCTATTCTAGAGTGGTCTATAACAATTGTGGGGCATTCCCCAATGAAACTGTTGTCTCCAGATCTCCAAGTTTAGAATGGGCATATCACCAAAAAAAGGAAAGAGAGAGGCTATCGCATAGTATAAAACCATAAGATATTTTATTGGGGGGTAAATGAAAAAAAATATCATTCAGAGGCGGACTGTCCATTTGGAAACTCGGGCACTGCCCGAGGGCCCGCAGTCAGTAGGGGGCCCCATGAGATGCCCCTGGTACCTTTTTTGATAGTTTTTTTTTTTTAGTTTGGGCAAGGACACGGGCCGCATGATCCCCTATTGCCTGGGGGCCCCATGAGTTGTCAGTCCGCCCCTGATATCATTCCCAAATAAAGTGCCTGTTCCCAGCACCTGGTGTACTCAGCCTTATCCATCCTGATATATGGAAGCCGCAGTACTAAGCGCTCCTCAGAGCGGCGTGCGTTCCATAGGCCAGATGTGACATCAGCAGAAGTTGCATCATCAAACCTTGACGCGTTTCAGGAAGTGCTTCCTGAAGATGATCTTTGATCAAAACATATTACGCCTCAATGAGATGTAATTACTATTCAGTGAAGCAGTAAATGGCTGAGCACAAATGGTAAATGCTGGCAACAAGTCCATCATTAGTATATCTTTGTTCTTGCATCCGTCACAACTTGTGAGAAATTGAAAATCAACTTACCTTTCATAGAAAAAGTCAAGTGTCTGCATTTCTCCATAACATAGACATTTTCCTGTTTGGCAGTACTCGTTGGTGAAGGATGTCATCTCCGCTCTAAAGCGACATCGGATGCACGAGCAACAGTTCGCTCACCCGCCTCTGCTGGTGCTCAATAACTTTGGCACACAAGGAATGCATGTGAAGGTGATGGCCACCATGTTCCAGAACATGTTCCCCTCTATCAATGTTCACAAGGTAAGAACAATCCTGGAAAATTATGATTTTTAAGCAGTTAAACATAATTATACGTTGATTTAAAGCTGAACTGTAGGTGAACTAAATACACAAATGTAATACATATATGGAAGCTCCAGCATAAGTGTGGATGCTGCTCCAACCGCTCGTAGAGCCTAACGTAAGATGGCCTCAGCCGTGACTCCGGCCATGCCCACCGGGGTTTGATCAAGCCCTGGTGGGTGGGGCAAAACACGGCAGAGGGTGTGGCCATCTTACTTTAGGTTTCCATGAGCGGTCGGAGCAATGTCCACACTTCTGCAGGAGCTTCAAGACTGGACCTATTTGAGGACACCGCTCCCCCTTTCATGCCAGTGAGGTGATGGTTTTTATGCTGCAGCTTGGAGCTGCACCAGCACCTTTTGCACACCAGTCTATCACATATGGAAGCTGCTTTATATACCAAAGCTTTTGTATTTGATTCCATCCAGTCCTGAGATTTACAAAACCTGTCACACAGCACAGCTAGGAGGATGACATCACTTTCTCTTTTACATTCAGGCTGTAGAAGGGATATAGTTGCTTTCCACCAGCAGCTGGCTGACTGAACAGTGAACAAGCAGCAACAGACTGATGGGTCATTCCTCCTTTCATGCTGTTGGCTCCTTCCATTAGCATGTTCCTTGTCAGCACATCTGCATACAGTACATATAATTTGTTTCCGTGCTGCTCCTTCATCTCCCAGTCTAATTGTTACTGTATAGAGAATTGCATGAGACAGATGCCAGGTTATAGTTACATAATTGGTGCATTAATGAAAAATCACAATTACCACTTGTGTACCAAGGTGTGTTTATACATGGCATGGTAGACACGGGTTTAACATTCACTGAAGTGATATGGGCAGCTGTGTGGTACATGTGACAACAATCTCCCGTATTCTTCACATGTCTGGGCTATGGAGTAGAGTGGCAAGACGGAAGCCTTTTCCTACGAAGAAAAACATCCAAGCCCGGCTAAATTTTGCAAAAACACATCTGAAATCTCCCAAAAGCATGTGGGAAAATGTGTTCTGGTCTGATGAAACCAATGTTGAACTTTTTGGCCATAATTCCAAAAGATATGTTTGGCGCAAAAACACTGAACATCACTAAAAGAACACCATACCCATAGTGAAGCATGGTGGTAGCAGTATCATGCTTTGGGGCTTTTTCTTCAGCTGGAACTGGGGCCTTGGCTGGGGAATGGCTTAACCAGAAGAAGATGAAAGTTTTGGAATGGGCCAGACAGAGCCCAGACCTGAATCCGATTGAAAATCGGTGGGGTGATCTGAAGAGGGCTGTGCACAGGAGATGCCCTCGCTATCTGACAGATTTGGAGTGTTTTTGCAAGGAAGAACTGGCAAATATTGCCAAGTCAAGATGTGCCATGCTGATAGACTCGTACCCAAAAAGACTGAGCGCTGGAATCACTGAAGTGTGTGTGTTACTGTGGCGGGCAATCTGGTGGTAACACACTTGCTGGGAGGGACACTGACTGCCTAACAAGTGTAATGTGTGCTGCTTTTTCTCCCTGGACTCAAATTTGATTTCAGGGAGAAGAACCAGCTAGATCGCTGTCCTGTATACAGAGTTCTGTATGCTTGTAAGCACAGAACTCTGTGTTAGAGCCAAAATCGTTGGCTGAAACCTGCTGACAAACTTTGTGCTGTAGCCAATCACAGCACAGGTTATCAGGGGGGGTTGCGTGCATGCCCACCTGAAACAAGAAAGAAAGGCCGCGGTGTATACGTAGGTTGCCTAGCCTGGCTGTGCCGCCCACCCCCATGGGTGTGCACAGTTTTAAAACTTGACATGTTTGATATCTTTTTACTCAATGCATCTTTTATATTTTACAAAGAAATTGCACAGAGCAGGTAAGTATACCATCTGAGATCTGATTGTAAGCTATAGCTAGCCTTTTTTTTTTTTTTATCGTTTAGCTAGCAGGCTGAACAAAAAAAAAAAAGATTCTGTTATCCACACAAATGAGGTAGAACGTTTCTTTGATCAAGAATGTTTTGTAAATACATCAGAATACATTTCTGTAAGGTGCACAGACATGCTCTGTAAAGTAATACCGCCATGACAGATCCAGAGGCCACCATCACTCACCATCTGAAATGTACCTGGCTATGATGCTAAACCAAAAGTGAGTAAGCGCGATTTTTGAAAGGTACACCTAATTACTGGTTCTTACTGGATGTCAGTGATGACAGTATAGTCTTCTGAGGGTTTCCCGTGATCCTTGGCTTAGTAAAAGCTCTGAGAGATCCATATTGTTCCCTCTCATTGGTAGGTAAATCCGCATTGGGTAGTTAAAGCGGAGCTCTAGTCTCACTTGGAAAAAAAATAAGTTAGCAGCTACAAAAACTGTAACTGCTGACTTTTAAAAAAAAAAAAAAAACAAAACAGCCACTCGCCTGTCCTACGATCCAGCGGTGTGTTCAGACCAGCCGGGCTCCCCGGCACCGGCATCTTAAGTGTGGGCACCCAGCTGCTCATGCGTGAAAAGCGATGCGCATTGTGAATTGTCCCATAATTTTCCAACTACATGGAGGGGAGGGGGAGAAGACACAACTTCCTAGGTGTGTCAGGACAAGTCTGATCATTGGAGGAGAGCAGACTGAGTTTCCAGCACGGCCAGGGAACTGACCACATTGTGCTGTCATTCCTAGTGGAGTCAGTTTTTGGTAGGAATGCAGAGGGACTGGCAGGAACACAAAATGAAGCAATACAAAGAGAACAGGAGACCTTCAAGTACATGAAATGTTGGGTTTACATACTTTCAAACTGTTCACCTATTACAGCTAAGGGTGGTCCTGCTTCCTGGGCAAAGTGTGCATCAGACATCTATTCCTAACACTTCCTAGTTGGTGTTTTTTTTTTTCTCACGTTTTCCTTCCCCTCTCCAGGTGAACCTGAATACAATCCGCAGATGCATCCTTATAAATTATAAGGACGACACCCAGACTCTGGACTTCAGACATTAGTAAGTGCTCCACATGGTTCAGATGATTAATAGTCTGGGCAGAGCTGTGATCATATTGGGTTTCATCTGAATTCAGAATTCACAAGACATGTTAAATACAGTCACGTGCATTGTTGGGCAGCCATGCTGTGATGTTTGGTGTCACAATTCTGCAGTAGCCATTTTACATGTAGTCCTTATTTTAGCTACTCTTGCGGGGTTTTTTTTTTTTTTTAATTCTCATAAGTGCAGTGATCAGGACAGGTTTGCTTGAAACATTTTATTGATGGCATTCAGTGGGGTGCAGTACATACTGTCAACCTATGGGTGGTGCACTTATGTAAGCCTGGATTGGATCTGTTTCCTATGGCAGTCTTTAGATGGCTGTGGGGATCTGAGATCTTCACATTCACGCACAACTGTTTTTTGTTTTTTTTTGTAGTATTCAGTGCTGTCCGCAGAGCTGCATTCATTTCTAGAATTAACAAAAATTACTGTAGGACACATTGCGTGTGAGGGTAGGTCCACACAACAGAAAACCGAAAGGATGTACATTCATATAAGTGGATGTGCTCATTGTGCTGCAGTAACCTCTTCTGGTCATAGATATGAAAATGGTCTACAGACAACCGTAGACAGCGGTCTTAGTGCTCTTACTCCCATCTAAGAGCACACTCTCAAAGCATGTGTAAGGCAAGAACATTTTTATTTCCTTACTTTTCAGCAGCTGCCCATACAATTTCTGTCCTGCTGCTCTGCATTATAGAAAGTTGCTTGCCGTAAACGCTTTTATGGAGGTGACTTCTTCATTTCAAGCAAAAGTACTGTGATTGGCATCAGACACAGCCTGGTAGAGCCCCTTGTTAATTATTTTTTTCTTCTGCTTTGTCTGTGGCGATAGGGAAGAACTCGCCCTACATTTTGTGGTCACAAGTGCGGGGAATCTTTCCTATGGGAGTGTAGACTCAAAATAAATGCCTGCTTTCATTCTTAGTAGATTGGGAAAGAGACTATGACTATTTTTGCTGTTTGCATTCTTAACAATGATCTGTAAATTCTTCTGTTTCTACAGCAGTGTAAAGGTGGTTCCAGTAGGAATGAGCAAAGGTGTAAAGAAGCTACTGCAGGAGAGGTTCCCTAATATGAGTCGCTGGGAGGATATCAGTGAGCTGCTGGTCAAGTGAGTATGTGGATGTGTGTGTTGTGTTTTTGTGTATTATATATATATTATTTATTTTTATATATATATATATATAACACTGTGCCTTGCATTGACATCGGTGGGAAGTGTTTTTGGCATTGACGCCAGTGGGAGGCATTTTTTGCATTGGAGCCAGTGGGAGGAAGTAATTTCTAGTCACTATGACAACCTGGCCCCTGGGATTTGTCCAACCCTGGCATATGCATTAAAGGTATGTCCAGAAGAAACTTGTGGTCAATTATCTGTCCCAATCGTCATACACCTTATGGGCAATGTCCTGCCATGTCCTTTCACACTTGGTGCGATCTTTGTGGTTGTCAGATGGATAATAGACAAAAGATCTTGCAATTGCCAGCTAGGTTAGCTCTTCTGTGTCAACCATGCTGTGACCTGCTCACTTCTCAGTTCTATGTGCAGTCTGTAGAATAGATGTTACTAAGAGGAGGTGTATTGTTGTCAGACTACAAAACGTGTCATAAACACATGCACTCCTGCACCAAAAAAAGTGCCTGCAGCTCTTCCAGAATCGCACTGTTGGAAAGCGCATAGGTGTGAGCATAGAACAGAATGAGAAATGGCTTGTCATGCATTGTGACGCTTCAGCATTGATTCCAGGCATTGCTAAAACTAGAAGGAATGCAGACCGTTACAATTTCACACTTATTTGCTGCTCTAGGACAACTTTAATTTCCAAATTGAGTGGGTATCTCATTGTCAGACAACAGCAGACCCCTTAGGTAAGAAATATTGGCATGAGCTATGAACCATCTTAGTTAATAAAGTAGAGCAAAGAGTGATGGGGTGCAATTACCCATAACATGTTTTTCATTAAAAAAAGTAAGCCACAATCCAAAACTTAGCTTTCTTTACATTTGTTTTGGGTGGAGACATCACTGTTTGCAGTCTTTTTTAACAAATATTAAACACAGAAATAAAAAAGCTAAGTTTTTTGGAGTGCAGATTTTTTATATTCTTAACTGATATTGGAGACAGGCTGTGGTAGCCGGTGCCCAGGTTGTCTTTCTGAGATGAAAGGAGCAAGTCTGGAGAAGAGCCATGGGTTTGGGTTTGAACCTGCTTTCATTATCATGCCTGTTTTAGACTTCTGATTGGTGGCTAGTGTTATTACAGTCCATCTTTGTACTGTGCTAGATGGAGAGCTGCAAGGTACTTGATGCTGGCAGATGCTGTAGAAATGCTGTTGTTTTTGCGTTTCAGAGGTGCCAACCTCTCGGAGAGCGAGGCAGAGCAGGATGGAGACCACAACATCACAGAGCTGCCCCAGGCCTATGCTGGCAGAGGCAACATGAAGTCCCAGCAGAGTGCCGTGCGTCTGACTGAGGTCAGGAGTTTGTCTCATTAGTGGAGAATCCTTCAAGTAAAGTCTTTTGTATGTAATAATACTTTGCTTTTTCACAGATTGGACCCCGGCTGACATTGCAGCTGGTTAAGATCGAAGAAGGCTTGAGTGACGGCAAAGTCCTGTATCACAGCTTTAGTAAGTTAGAGGTGTTTGCTCTAAAGTACTGACATTGGTTTTAAGAAGTGGCCTTGAATTGGTAGGAATGACTCTGGTTCATTTAACACTGCATAATTCTAGCTGCTTGGGGTTGTTTTTTTTTTTTTATTTAATCCAAACAACTGTTATTGTCGAGATGATAGAGAAAATGGAACAGTACTTCCAGAATCCACAATGACATTACTGCTACAGCAGGATTACACATAAATAGAACAACATGGATACACAGATCCCGTAATAAACAGAATAAAAGAAATGGTAATCAAACAAAACAGAGACCACAAGGATCAAAAATTTTCTTGACAATACCTTGCCTTTTCTGTTTTTTTTCCTTCCTTCCCCTCCAGATGTAAACAGAAATGGGGGGGGGGGGGGGGGACAAAGCTCAACACATGTCTTCAAAAAAAAAACACACATCTACATCTGGTTCACCTAGCAGCTTGTTTGTTAGTTTTTATTCATTTCTTCCAAATTTGTGTGGGAATCCAATGTGAAAATGTTTTAGTACAGAAGCTTCCTTTTATTAAGACCAGTCACTGCTCTTCTGCGGGGTGACTGGTCACCAGGGGCGGACTGACCATTCGAGCACTCGGGCACTGCCCAAGGGCCTGGGATCAGTAGGGGGCCCCATAAAATTCCCCTGGTACCTTATTTATAGGCTTTTTTTGGGTGTGTTTTGAGTGTGGGCAAGAACACGGGCCCCATGATCCCCAATTGCCCGGGGGCCCCATGAGTTGTCAGTCCGCCCCTGCTGGTCACTGCTGTTCTCTTTGTGCAGAGTGACTGGTCTTGTGTCCACCCCTTCCTGTAGTTTTCGGCAGGCAGCCTGCAGTGGGTGGAGCTGCTGGGCCCCTCCATGAGCTCTGCTCTCTGCGCAGCCTTATGTGCAGCCCAGTGATGCTGTCATTCCAGCTTTTGCAAGTTAATATCTGGGGTTGCAAAGGCATTCAGTGCACTCAACACTCTGGAGTGGAGTTATATATTTTGTGTCTGATGAATATGTTTTTAAATTAAATTAGATTTTTTTTTTTTTTTTTTTTTTTTTTTTTTTTTTGTGCCTGGAGTTCAGCTTTAACATTTCTCTGAAAGTTTTCTCTCTTCCTATAATGCCAATGGTTATAGTTTCCATCACTTCCTTTGGAACCTGCATAAGAAATGAAGGTTGCATATATCACAGAAACAAAAAGACAGTATTGAAAACATTGTCTGAACTTCTAACTCTTCCTCACTTTTTGTTTGTTTTTTTGGGGGGGGTTTTTTTTTGTTTTGGTTTTTTTTGGGTCCCTCTTAGAGAGTTTTCCCATCACTTCCTGTCTATAAAGGAAATCCAGAAAGCAATAAAAACATGTCAGTCTCCAACACTTTCTCACTCCATCCAAAGCAAAATCAAAACAAAACTCTTATCTGAAGACAACATATAAAGCCTTGTCCCTCCCAACTTTGAACTTCTAGGGTCTCCAATCACTGGTTTATGGGAATATACTGACCAGTAACTACCAATGGTGATTTCATATAATGTGGTGCCCCCAGGAATTCATTGCAACCCCCAACAGCATCCCATGACAGGGCTTAAATAAATCTAATTTGAAAGTTCTATATGGTAGAATTGTCCTTTTGGCTTTTCTTGCAAATGCTGTTCTTCAATATGGGTTGCCTATGTGAACATATGGCAAATGTTTTCTGGCTGATTTTAGTTAAGAAAACAGAGGAGGAGATCCGGGAAATGCTGGCACGCAAAGAGAAGAAGCTGAAGCTGAAGAATGAGCGGAAGCAGAAACAGGAGCAGAATGTGAAGAAAAAGCAGCAGCAGAAGGAAGAGAACAAGTATGTCATCATTCCCTATGCACCTCCTTTTGTTGTGGTACACGAGTCCACTGCTGTCAGATGCTGCATATCATCCTTCTTAGTGCTTTCAGATCAGTGCATGTGCATTCATCTCTTGGAAAACACAAGCCTTAACTGCTTGCCGATCCACCACAGTACATATACTGTGCTGGGGGGGGCTTGTACAGGCATCGTAATGTAACTGTGTGTCTGTTTTTTTATTTTTTTTTTTTGTACAGGTTGAGGGCGCACGCGTGTGCCCCCACCCATCTGATCTGCTGTGATTAAACACAGCAGGACTTGATCAGCATGTCCCAGCCAACAATTCATGGCCTGGACCTGCTGATCGACTGTGTCCAATCACAGCCCACAGGGCTCTGTACAGAGAGAACAATTTCTATTTCTTATCTCTGCAAAGCAGGGATAAGAAACAAAGATCTTTTTGTAAAATCAGCACACCTTACACATTATCGGGCACACATTTAACCCCTTGATCACCCTAGATGTCAACCTTTTTTAGCCAGTGTTATTAGTTCACTGAGATTGTGTACAGTATTAACACTGATCACTGTATTAGCGTCACTGGTGATGCCATTGGCAGTTAGTCAGTTAGTGTTATTTTGCCCACTGCACTGTCATGGTCCAATTGGAAATTGCTGATCACTGCCATTAGTTTAAAAAAATAGATGAATACAAATTATAGTATATATATACCACTGTTGTAGATGCTATAACTCTCACAAACCAATTAATATACAGGTGTATCTCAATTTGCAAACGCCTCGGTTAATGTAATTTTCGGTTTACGAATGAAAATCCATTGAAAATAATGCCTCGGTTTAGGAATTTTTTACGATTTTTTTTTTTTTTTTTTTTCGGAATACGGAGTGCATGTCGGTGCCGATTTTTACATGTAATTGCCGGATTTTTTTTTTTTTTTTTTACTATAGCTCACAGAATTAGCGGTCACTTTCCCATAGTTAAAGGAAGCTTTGTTTCTTTTAAGAAACTAAAAGGAAACATTGTTTCTTTTAACTCGGGAAATAAACTAAAAGGAAACTTTCTCTTTTAGTTGATTGGAAAGTGACAGCTGCTTCTCTGAGTCATAGTGAAGAAAAAAAAAAAGCGGTCATTACATTTAAAAACCGGCACCATAATAAATTGTAAAAAAAATGGTGTGGGGTCCCCCCTCTTATCCATACCAAGCCCTTTCGGGTCTGGTATGGATTTTGAGGGGAACTCCCACACCAAAATTAAAGAAAAAAAATGGCTTGTGGGTCGCCCCCAAAATTCATACCAGACCGTTATTCAAGCATGCAGCCTGGCATTTCAGGAAAGGGGCGGGGACAAGCGAACCATACCAGACCACATGCCCTCAACATGAGGGGGTGCTTTGGGGCAGGGAGGGCTCCCCCGAAAGCACCTTGTCCCCTTGTTGATGGGGACAAGGGCCTCTTCCCCACAACCTTTGCCGGTGGTTGTGGGGGTCCGCGGGCAGGGGCCTTATCGGAATTTGGAATTTTTCGCTATACAAAAAATCCCGCAGAACAAATTAAGTTTGCAAACTGAGCCTCTACACTTATTGTGATTTTAATTTACCAAAAACATGTAGCAGAATTCATTTTGGCCTAAATTTATGATATATATATATAGATAGATATAGATATATAGTTTTATATCAGAAAATAGAAAGTATTGTGTTTTTCAAAATTATTGGTCTTTTTTCATTTATATTCATTTTGGCCTAAATGTATGATTTTTTTTTTTTGATTTTTTTTTTTTTTTTTTAATATGATTGATTTATAATAGAAAATATATGTACAATAAAAAACAAAAACTCAGTGTTAGATCAAATACCACCAAAAGAAAGCTCTGTGGGAAAAAAATTATAACAAAGGTGTACCGCTTAGGCAAACAATCCAGATCAATCCACAACAGGTGCAGGTTCTGGCTCGCCACCACACACGATGCAATAGGAAGAAGGGTCAGCCGCACACCGGAGGATAGATGAATATAGTGTGTATTTAATGATTAAGCACGAGATCGTGTGAAATGTGTTAACAGGTCCTGTATTAATGTCCTGGTGTTATATACATTTCATTTGGGTACAGATTTGCATGACCGCACAATTGCCAGTTAAAGTAGTTCAGTGCTGAATAGCAAAAGATACCCTGGTCATGAATGGGGTAAATATCTTCCAGAGCTCAAGTGGTTAAATCCCACCTGTCATTACTTAAACCGTACTGCGTGGACCCTGTATTATACTGCTGGCGCCTCCACATACCTTTTTAAATGCATTCTTTTGCGTTCTGGCTGTCCTGAATACTGGCAAGTGTTGATACTTCCTGATAGTGTTAAGTGTTTGTCCCATCCTCTCCCACTCTCTTCATATTCCTGTTGGCTAATAAGGCCGGACACCATAATGATGGGACAGTAGGTGCATGGGGGCCAGTGTTCAGCGCTACCAGAATGTGTTGCAATTTTGTCACAAATAGCAGCCAGACATTTGGGGCAGCCAAGCTGCAGAAGAAAGCATCTTTGCAGCCACAATTTTGTCTTCGAGTGCTGAAACCTATGAGCATTGTTTGCATACTGTTTGATTTACTGTGTACCTATCCTCAGGAGTCCCTGAATCCCTGGTGCACACTTTACATGTTGTTTCCCTTTTAATATAGAGGGAAATATGGGCACACAATGCAAAACTTTGGCAGTGTGGGGAAATAAACCAGTAAAATGTTTGTTTTCGCCCATATGAAGTAGCCTTTTGCTACAGATCCCCATCTGTATGAGTCTTAGGAATGAGTCTTATCTACATTTAGGCAAAAGCTGGCCATTGATGGATCAAAACAAAAAGATTCCCCTATCCTTCCTGCTGTGTTAATGCCCAGCGCTTCAGCCAATTGGCTACATGGACTGATTGAATGGAAGTTTTCCACCATGCCCTTTTGAGAGCAGCCCATCGTTAGATCAACTTCAGTCCATTGGAAATGGCCATAGATGGATCAAAATTTGTCTGGTCTCTATGGAACCTGCAGAAATTGAATCCATCTATGGCCAGCTTAAGTCATTACCAATTGCAAAGTGTGGTGAGCGCAGCCAGCCACTGGCTCTGAACCAATCTGCCTACAGTGAACTGGAATCTGTGATGAATGTTCAATGTTTTATTGAATGAGGCTAGTAGTGTATATACATAGAGGTGGTGACTGTACAGCTTCATTGTAACATGGCTCCTTGCAAATCATACAGTAACCTCTGCTTTATGTTGTCCCACTGAATACAGGAATCGCAGTTTGTCCGGTATGAAGCGGAAGAAGGGTGAAGATGATAATGAGGACAGTGAGGTGGAGGATCCTGGAATGTCGGGAGAGCAAAACCCAGCTGACCTGTCAGAAGATGATGACGCAGAGTATTACAGACAGGAGGTTGGGGAGGAGCCAGACCAAGGTAAGTAGTTAATATCTTGTTGATCTGGGCTAGTGATGATCGAATCAGGAAAATTGGTTCCTAATTTTATTTCTCTGAATATTTTCATATAAATCTGCTTTTGAAGAAGTTTAAGGCCTGTCGAACAAGGGAGTAAAAAATGCTGAGTTTGGTTTTTTTTTTACAGAACTGAAATGAGCTGCATTGCTTACAGAGCAGTAAAACAAAATTAGAAAAGGTTTCATTTGAGTGCAGTAAATTTACACTCGTGTTTTACTTGTTTAGGCCCCTTGCACACGAGCGTCATTTACTGATGTTTACTGAGCAACTTGTAACACCCATGTGCAAGGGGCTACAATACTGGCAATGAAGAATTGTCTGTACTCATCTATACACTTACACACTACACACCTTTACTCGCCTATACTCAACATTACTCCGGTCTCTACACACAGTTTTTGGCCCTTTGCCAACGGGTGTTACAAGTTCCTGAGTAAACATCAGTAAATTATGACACCCGTATGCAAGGGGCCTTAGGATGCAAACCACAATAGTTCATTAATTGTCAAGTCTGCAGACAAAATTAATTTTGCTTGCTTATGTTGTGTCCCTCTCCTTGTGTATTCCTGGGATGTCTCTTGTCATAGTTTTCACTGGGGTTATGCACAATTCACATATTAATCAATTATCAGTGTTGTCCTGCTTTGACCTGCCACTGCCTAGTACATCTAGTGAGTGAAAGTCTGCCTTTTTTTTTTTTTTTTTTTTTTTTTTTGACCCAGAAAGCTCTTGCCAGCATGTCCAAGTATTGACTTACAGCATGCCTTTATTGAGCTGCAGGGAAGGATCTTTTATGGCAGTAAAGATAGCCACTTCTGCCATAAAGCTAGCCTGATGATGCACCACTGGGGGTTGTGTCTAAAATGTCATGGACTCACAGCAAGTGGGTTGAATGATGCTGGCTGAAATTCAGCTGGCAAAAGACCACCACTGGATGTCAGAACAGAGTGTCTGCAGGGGACAGTGCTTGAGAGAAGGTGAGTATTGCAACAAAGGCTGATGGCTTTTGGCCTTTTTTTTTTTTTCCCCCCTCAAGGTGAAGATGGCTTTAATTGATGCAAGAAGGATACAGCTGCTAAGTTGTAAGAAAAACCTGATTCTTTCGATTGTAATTCTAAGGCCCATTTCACACAAGCAGACCAGTCGGGTCCATCTGTCAATTTTTTTGGTGGACCCAATCGGACTCTCCATTCTCCTTTATGGAGCGGCCATATGTCTGTTTACACCTGCCTACATACGATCCACTAAAAACAGATTGGGGATCTGTTCTTCAGTCTAGTGGATCGGATGTCAGTCGCGTGTAAACAGACAGATGGTCTGTTTTAAATCTGACCACCCATAGAGGAGAGTGGACAGTGTCCACTTTACATAAGTGAAAAGGACACAGAGCAGCCATCTGCCTGCTTAGCAGGGGTCAGCGGACAGATTCCCCACTGAACAAACAGACTTCTGACAAGAGTCTGCCTTGCAAGAAAGGAGCATAACATCTAAGCTCAGAGTCTCAGGTCTAGCAGTAAAATGTGAACTCTGAACAGAGGAGCAAAAATGCATACGGTAGTATAGACTGCAGTGCATTCACAGTGGGGAAGACAAACATTTTTAGATTGTCTGCTGGAGGGACTACTTGTTGAGAATTAAAAAAACAATAAATAAAATCTAATTCTACAGAAAGAATGAATGCTAGTTTTGATGTCTCTGGATATATAATACTGCTGTAAGGCTTAGAAGTATGCTTTATCTTTCTATCTTTTTAGACCTGTTTCTCCACCGCCGCAAAAAGCCCTTTATGGGTGGGAAGTCTGGACCTCCAAAAAAGAAGTTTAAAGGTTCTAAAGGACCTGCCCAACACCGTCGTGATTCTGCTTCCCAGGCTGAACCTCGCAAGGCCAAATTCCCCATACACCAGAAGTCGAAATCCCCAAAAGGGCAGTCACCCCGACCTGGCAAAAAGGGACAGAAGTTTCACAAACCTAGGGAGGGGAGAGGAGAACATAAACATTCTCCTTCTCAGAGCAAAAAGAAGGCCTTCAAGAAGCAGGCGGCATTTGGATCTAAGGGGCCAAGGATGGGGAAGCACTCAAAAACGAATGTCAGGCATAAAGTGGGCGGGCCAAAAGGAAAGGCTTTCAAGCAGAAGAAAAAGTCGCATTAAATGGTCAACTGTTAACACATCTTTTGTAAATATGTGTAATTATCACCTAGATATCCAACTATGTTATGGCTGCCAAAAAAAAGTAAATTCATTTTTCTTTATAAACTGTTGTGTTTTTTTTTTTTTCTGTTTATTGATTTTCTCACCTTTCAGAACATGAAACCATATTCAGGGTGTAACATGTTATGAAATGACTGCCCCCGATACCCCGTTTTGACAGCGGGGGATAATGTTTAAGAAATTATTATTGGTATTCTTGGAATGAGAATCTACAAGTCCCAACAGCCAATGAACTACCGCCGACCCTCTGAGTGCCGTGGTAGTTCATTGATTCTTCCTGTCAGTACATATTTTCTTGCCCGAACAAGCAGATACACAGACAGGTCTGCAGGGGGCCTGCATGGCATCAGCGATCTGCTAAAACAAAAAAAAATAAATGCACATTTTTGTACCTGCAAAAAAAGAAAATGGTGCATTTAGTATTTTTTGTTGAAAGGTGAACTTGTCCTGTAATCCTTTGATTGCCCTTGATGTTAACCCCTTATCAGCCAGTGTCATGTGTACAGTATTATCACTGATCACTGTATTAGTGTCACTAATGATGTCTGTGTCAGTAATGTAATGTCCCTCCCAGCAAGGGTTTGTTAGTGCCAGATTACCCACCACCCTGTCACAGTCCCACTATAAGTGACCACCACCATTACCAGTATAGTGTCATAGCTAATGTAAATTCCAGTATATATAGACCATAGTTTGTAGGTGCTATAACTTTTGTAAATTTTACTTACCTTATAATAAAGCTTACCTGTAGGTAAAATTAATATCTCTCTCCTAAACGTGCTCAGTTTAGGAGATATTCTCTCTTTCCTAAAGCCGGCAAATGTGCTCTGAAGGAACAGCCTACCCATACCTTTCCTTCTTTCATAGCTGTGTGGTGTGGCCCGGGACTCCTGTGACGTCCTTACGGCTCGGACTGTCAGGCAGCTGGAAATCATGAACCCGGAAGAAATACCGGGTGAGGATGGAAACCTCTGCAGAGGTGACAGCATGCCGCTGGAGGTCTTCTTTTTAAGGTAAGTTTTACATAATGTGCTAGTATGTGATGCATACTTGCACATTATGACACTACCCTGCAGGGGACTTTTTTTTTTTTTTTTTTTTTTCTTGCAGTTTACTACCGCTTTAATATACACCTATTGGGATTTTGTTTTTTAACCAAAGACCTGTAGCGGCATACATTTTGGCTTAAATGTATGAAGAAATGTATTATCTCTTTATTGGATATGTTTTATAACCGAAAGTAGAAAATATTTTTATTTTCAAACTTTTTTTTTTTTTTTTTTCGATAAAAAATTAAAAAAAACCCAGTGGGGATCAATTACCACCAAAAGAAAACCTGTGAAAAAAAGGTGTAAATTTTGGTACAGTGTTGTATGACAAAGCAATTGCCAGTTAAAGTAGCGCAACGCTGAATAGCACAAAATGATCTGGTTATGAAGGGGGTAAAGCCTTCTGGATGTCATGTGGTTACTAAGAGGAAACGGAGCCTGTTCTTGCAATGGAGTCACTCTGAAATTGTTCAGAAATGCATGCAGATGGCTGAGACTTTCTTCTGAGAAATATCAAAAAGGTAGTTAGTTTTTTGTTTTTTTTAATTCTATATAAAGGTAAGCTGTGTGAATAAGAACAAACATATAGTGGGGATTTCTCAAATTTGACTGCAAATGTGGCAATGCCTTTTAACTTCCAAAGCTGAGTATAACATGAACTTCTAGTCTGTACACAGATCTCCTTTTACAAGGATGCAGCACTGAACTCCTGGCTGCAGAACACAGTGATCTGGAAACCTGTTGATATTTTAACCTTGGCACTGTATTAGGTTCACCTTGCTAGTACCGGGTTGGACCCCCTCTTGCCTTAATTCTTCATGGCATAGATTCAACAAGTTATTGGAAACATTCCTCAGAGATTTTGGTCCATATTGACATAACATCACACAGTTGCTGCAGATTTGTTGGCTGCACATCCATGAACTGTTGATACAAGGCAGGATGGATCCATGCTTTCATGTTGTTTATGTCAAATTCTGACCCTACCATCTGAATGTTGTAGCTGAAATCAAAACTTATCAGCCCAGGTAACATTTTTCCAATCTTCTATTGTCAAATTTTTTTGAACCTGTGAGAATTGTAGCCTCCTTTTCCTGTTCTTTGTTGACAGGAGTGACTCCCAGTGCGGTCTTCTGCTACTGTAGCCAATCAGCTTCAAGGTTCGACGTGTTGTGCGTACAGAGATGGTATTCTGCATTCCTTGGTTGTAATGAGTAGTTATTTGAGTAACTCTTGCCTTCTATCATCTATCAAACCAGTCTGTCCATTCTCCTCTAACATCAGCAAGGCGTTTTTGCTCACACAACTACTGCTCACTGGATATTTTCTCCTTTTGGACCATTTTCTAAGCCCTAGAGAGGATTGTGTGTGAAAATCCTAGTAGATCAGCAGTTTTTGAAATTCTCAGACCAGCCCGTCTTGCACCAACAACCATGCCACATTCAAAGTCACTTAAATCCCCTTTCTTCCCCATGCTCGGTTTGAACTTCAGCAAGTTGTCTTCACCACATCTAGATGTCTAAATTCATTGAGTTGCTGCCATGTGATTGGCTGATTAGCAGTTTGTGTTACCAAGCAATTGAACAGGTGTACCTAATAAAGAGGCCGGTGAGTGTAGCATAGACCAGGGCTTGAGATCTCCACTCGCCTGCTCGCCAATGGCGAGTGGAAATTATGGTGGGGGCGAGTGTGTCCCCAGGGCCGTCTTGCTGAGCAGGCTTGGAGCTCGGGCCGGATCTGTCATTGGCACTGGGAGCTGTCAGACTGCTCAATAGCTGACCGTGGTGAAAGCAAAGGAAGGAGTGTGTGCTGTGCTCTCTGCCTCCCCCTAGAGTGCAGTACCCCGATCTGTGAGTGAACTACAAAGTACTGCAACTTTTTATGATGGGGGTGTGTGTGTACGTACATGTGTGTTTGTGTATGTACGTACATGTGTCTGTATGTATGTACATGTATCTGTGTGTATGCGTGTCTGTACGTGCCTTTGTGTGTGTACATGTCTCTGTGTGTGTGTGTGTGTGTGTGTGTGTGTGTGTGTGTGTGTACAGGTGTCTGTTTGTGTTTGTTGGTGGTGAGTAACTCTAAGGCCTGGCTAGTAGCTCTGGACTTGAAATTTTAAGCCCTAGTATAGACCTACTATAGTTACCCATGTAGGATAGTTTCATGTCCCTGGCAGAATTATGTATGTATAGAAGATGATGATTTTGTTTGTAACAATCACAGCTGTAATCATCACATCAGTCCCACGTGATTTTAGTTACTAAATATGCTCTGAGTAACCCTGGGTGGTTCCTCTTTTTGGTAGATCCGTCTATTGTAGGACAGACACTAACCACATCAGGACTTGTTGAAGTCTGTGTACAGTCCACGTATTCCCCCTTTCTTGGAGGGAATCCTCTCCTACCTGGTGGGTGCTCATCGAGGTCAGCATGACGGTAAGTCACTGCAGGCAATTTACTATTGGCATTTATTTACTACTGAATCCAGCTGTAGCATGAAATACATCATGTGCGGTGGCACTTTAAATTGCACCCATCACAAACATTTGGCAGTTCAAGCTGAAAATACAATGTAATGTATAAGCAGAAAATACATATCAAAGTGATCAGTAGATTCATATTCTGATTTGTGTGACATGTATGTTAGGGGAGTACACAACTCATTCACATTATTCATGTATGTCTCCGTGGCCACCTGTACATCCTTAACCACTTCGTGCTGGTGCCTCCTGGCCCTTTAACAGTTTCAGAAGCTGAGAGACGGGTGGGGATTTAGGGTCATGTGACTGCCATGATTCGCCGTCACGGCTGTCGCATGATCGTAAAATGTCCCGATCGTAAGAGGAGATCGGGATCTTTCCGTGAGTCACGGACATATGTGCTTGGAGTGTGCAGGGTGTGCGCTCTCAGCACATATGTATCTAATGGCACTCAAATATACGGCCGCTTGGTGTCAAGGCCCAGATGCCGAGAGGCAACATATTGGCGTGCGCTTGGCGTCAAGGGGTTAAAGTGTATTTCCACTTTTGCAGCCAAACTGGGATAACACTTTTTATTTGTTATGTCCCCATTTACATAGCATACTTTATAAATTGCAGCTCACCTTTTTTAGATACTCTGTTTTGGACCCTCCAGCAAGAAAGTAATCCTAGGTAGGTCTGTTTGCCTATGATGGGGCTGGGTGGGTGTGTTTGCTATAATTATTGCTCTCTGTGCTGTGCAGGCAGATCTCTATGATCAATTTCAACTAGATTTAAACACGGTCTGTCAAGGTATAAAGGGTGGACTTCTTGCAATGAATATTGAGGACAGACTTGGGACAGGCTCACTGTGTAACATTGTCCAAATAAACTTAGTCAGCCATGACACTTCCTCCTGAGAAACATCCAAAAGGTGAGAAATATTTTTATATTTTTTAGGCATGGTGTGTGAATGTAGTGAGGTTTTCTCAAATTTTACTGCAAAAGTAGAAATGCCTCTAAAGCAGAACTCCTGGCAATTTTTTGTTTCCCATGCAGTGGGGCTGCTCATTTTGTTCTAGGGGAGAGGACAGTGGAAATATACTTACATGACCTGCCGATCCTCCCTGTGCAAGATCGGTCCCTTCGGCACCATAACTACACCCCCCCCCCCCTCTCCGATCCAGTGGTATTAAAAATGGACTGTTCCAGATGGCAGCAGGCTCCATAGACATGAACAGTCCACCATTGGACTGTGGAGGAGTGCAGTTTTCCAGAGGATCGGCGGGTCATGGGAGTATGAGCTTTGTGCTCACCCCTAGAAAAAACAAGCAGTTGACCCATGCAGGGGGCCACAGCCCCACTGCATGGTGAAATACATATTTTTCCCAGAGTTTTGCTTTAAACCTGAACTCTGGGCACATATGAAAGACACCAATAATGCAGCTCTGTAATAAATAAAGCCTTAGTCTCAGTAGGAATTTTATTCCATATTTACATGCAGCAAAGCATGCTTGTTATACTCACTGTGGAACCTAAGAGATTAATCCTCTGCATTGTGTAAAAAAAACAAAAAATAAAAAAAAAGACTGTCTTCTCTGATCCTCCCCTTCCTCTACTGTCACCAGTTTATCTGCTGATTGAACAGAGTCATGAGGGACAGGTGCACATGCTCAGATTGGTGTGTATTGCTAGAGGGTTTTTTTCTTGGGAGGGTGCATGTGATCAGCACATGGCCAATCAGCACTGTTCAGAGATTCAGAGGTCATGCAGCCTCATAGGACAATCAAGGGAGAAAGAAAACTCCTCCTCCTAGCTTTAACCAGTGCTCTGCTGGACACTGATAGAAGTCACAAGACTGTTACATACTGATGAGAAAAGGTATTTAGCAGTTTATATTTACTAAAATAAGTGCCATGTTGTTTGTACTGTGGGAGACCAGATATAGTGAATGCAGGGTCCAGGGAGACCAGATATAGTAAATGCAGGGACCGGGGAGACCAGATATAGTGAATGCAGGGTCCGGGGAGACCAGATATAGTGAATGCAGGGTCCGGGGAGACCAGATATAGTGAATGCAGGGTCCGGGGAGACCAGATATAGTGAATGCAGGGTCCTGGGAAACCAGATATAGTGAATGCGGGGTCTGGGGAGACCAGATATAGGGAATGCGGGGTCCTGGGAGACCAGATATAGGGAATGCGGGGTCCTGGGAGACCAGATATAGGGAATGCGGGGTCCTGGGAGACCAGATATAGGGAATGCGGGGTCCTGGGAGACCAGATATAGTGAATGCAAGGTCCAGGGAGACCAGATATAGTGAATGCAGGGTCCTGGGTTTAGTAACACTTTAAGGCTTTATACATGTGTTTAACACAAGCAGCAAAGCTCAGACTGGGTTAGGGAGCAGCAGTAAATGGAGCCAATCAGGTATGCTGCAGTGCAAGGAGTATGCTAATAGGTTGAAAAAGCAGAGTGACAGAGAAAAGCTCATCAATCTACTGCTTCTTGTTTCATTGTCCATTCCGAGATTGGGCAAGGGACAGGACCTGTAAATGCTACTTAATTGCAGAAGAGAAAAATCAGCTCTCCTGCCCTGCCAGAGAGAGGCTTTGTTGTGTGGCAGAGCTGTGTAAATCTCAGGACTGGATGGAATGAAATACACATTCTTTTGCAGATAAAACAGCTCCCATATATGTATTTCATCTGTGCATTTAGCTGTTTGCCTGGAATACAGCTTTAAAGTACACACTATCCTCTATCCACCTTCTTAACGATGCTAGTTGCCTGGCTGTGTCTCACTTCAGTACTTCTTAGTCACAAACCCAAAAGCAGCATAATGTATAATTTTTAGAATTTCTGATTCCTACATATGTTCCACCTTAGTGACTTACCTTAAAGCAGGGGTGGGTAACTGTAGAACTACAAGTCCCATGAGGCATTGCAAAACTGACAGTTACAAGCATGACTCCCAAAGGCAGAGGCATGATGGGACTTTTAGTTCACCAACAGACCTCACTGCTGACAGGGCTTCTATCTTCACCCAGTCTTCCTTCTTTCACAGGCTGCAGCCATTTGAATGGCTGGGCTGCGATGACGTCATTTCTGCACATGCGAGCAGGAGTCACGACCGTGGCACATAGTGTATTGTCAATTCAGAATGGAGTGCGCATGTGGCAGTCATGTCACTGGCTGCTTTCATTGTGAATATCACCTGAACACAGCATGTTTAGGAGATATTCACTGTACCTACAGTACAGGTAAGCCTTATTAAAGGCATACCGGTAGGTACAAGTTCAAAAGCAGAGTTTACTACCTGCTCCTCCTAGAGAGCCAGGGGGAGCTAGCTAGTTTTTTTTTTTTTTGTAGATGCGGATTAGCAGCCAGGGCATGAGTCAGCCAGATCAATTTAGGTCAGGGCTGAGGGCTTTGCAGATCAATTCCCTGATACCTCCACCTGCTCTAGAGACTTGAGAAGTTTCTAGAAGGCAGTGGGTGGGGGTGAAAAGGCGCTGATCTGCATACTTAAGGGATTTTGACCAATCCCCAGGCAGCAGGCTTGGCATGGGGTCAGGACAGCCTTTAAGTATGACTGAGCCTGCTCAGCAGCAGGGGAGTAGTGTTTGGTGGAAGATGGAGTGAAGGCTGGAGTGGGGAGCCTGGCAGGGTCCTACCTGCAGGCAGGAGTTGGAAGGGAGAATCTCTCAGCTTCAACCATCCCCTGAAAGAGGACAGCCTTGGAAACGGGGAAGGAGCCAGCCCAGCATAATGCCTGAAGGCAGCCACCAACCCACAGGCTTGCAGGAGAGGACTAAGTGAGTAATCCTGTACACCCTGGACCAGATTAGGGACATTCTGCTGGGAAACCTGACCAGTCCCTATCTGGGACTGTTGATTTAAAGTGGCAGTCTGAGTTCTCTTGCTCAGGGATTCCCTCAGACAGCTGGGTGGAGAGGAGATTTCATCTGGGGTCTGAGGTGGTACACCTGGGGGGCTGGAGAGCTCTACGAGAAGAGACTATTTGTTGACTTGTACATATTTGCTAAAGAGTTTGTCCTCAAGTTGCAGTTGGACATCCCATACACCCCTCAACCCTATCCAAGTTCAATACCCCTTAATAAAACCTAAAAACAAAGCTCAAGGACTGTACTGTCTCCAGTGTGCAAACAAATGCATGTTACCTGGCTGTGCAGGATTATAAGGGGACCCAAAACTTAGCAACTCCTAAGGTGGTAGTGTTACATACCGATTAAACATGCTACGTTATGCAAAAAAAGATTAATGTTAGGGTAATGCACAAATAATGTTAAAACTATGTAAATATGACCAAAAAAATCAGCAGATTCTCCAATTTGTTGAAGGCATGGTAAGTAAGATAGGAAGAGATAACGGTATAACAAAAAGTGGCAGGAGAAATACTTAGCTGAGGGTCACATGTTGTATGGTCAAAAGGTTGGGCTGTGCAAGGGTGATCCAACCACTCACCATCACCTGTGATGGCAGAGAGATGGATGGTGAAGGTGGCAGAAGGAGATTGGCCCAGACAGACACTACCAGCACTGCATAGCTCAGGAGGGAACAGGTTTTCTAATATTAATCAGTGTGCCTGCTAAGAATGGCCAGTCAGTGGATGTCTTCCTGCACCTACAAAGAACAAACAAACTGAATCGGGCAGTGACCATCTCATGTGCAGCTATAGAGCTAAACTTCCCCTGGCATGCATGTAACAAACAATGTCTGGTTCCTCTCTTCCCCCATGTTTGTGTTTATCTGCCAAAAAGGGATCTAGCAGCAGAAAAGGGGATCTAACAAATATACCACAGGTCATTAAGGGCATTTCTACTTTTGCAGTCAAATTCAAGAAAAGCCCCACTATATGTTCATTAGATGTTCCCATTTACACAGCATACCAAAAAGAAAAAAATGTTTTTTTTAAATATTTCTAGATGTTTCTAAAGAGGAGGTGTTGTGGTTGATCAGGAACACTTGTTGGCTGAACTTGCTCTGTTGACATTGTCGCTGTGTGATGTGATCAGGAACACTGTGAGTTGATGTGCTATTAGGCCTCATTCACAGGGTGTGCTTCAATGCATGGCAAGGGTTATGTTTTACTGGTGGATACAGAGATCAAAGATTACACCAGTGACCGGCCTGGGGACTGCAAGCCATCACTGAAAACAGGAGGATGTACAGGTAGCAATGGTGTTCTGCAACAATTATCTTGTATCCCATCTCTGTTGCACTGGATTCTCTTTTGTGTGTATGTATATAAAGTTGTGTTCAAAATAATAGCAGTGTGTTGAAAAAAGTGAATAAAGCTCAAAATCCTTCTAATAGCTTTTATTTCCATACACACAAATGCATTGGGAACACGACACATTCTATTCCAAATCAAAACATGAAGAAAAATAGATCAAATTTGTGTTGTTCCTCTAAAAAAATGAAGAAAAGTGAATATTAGACGGTTAAAAAAAATAGCAGTGTTTGTATTCTTCTTTACAAACTCAAACATTCACTATATAAACTGAAAAATGTTTGAAGATTTTGCTTTCCTTTGAATCACTTAATGAATATTTGGTTGTAGTCGCACTGTTTCTGAGAACTGCTGTACATCTGTGTTGCATGGAGCCAACCAACTTCTGGCACCTGTGAACAGGTATTCCAGCCCAGGATGATTGGACTACATTCCACAGTTCTTCTCTATTTCTTGGTTTTGCCTCAGAAACTGCATTTTTGATGTCACCCCACAAGTTTTCTATTGGATTAAGATCCGGGGATTGGGCTGGCCACTCCATAACGTCAATCTTGTTGGTCTGGAACCAAGATGTTGCACGTTTACTGGTGTGTTTGGGGTCGTTGTCTTGTTGGAACACCCATTTCAAGGGCATTTCCTCTTCAGCATAAGGCAGCATGACTTCTTCAAGTATTCTGATATATTCAAACTGATCCATGATCCCTGGTATGCGATAAATAGGCCCAACACCGTAGTATGAGAAACATCCCCATATCATGATGCTTGCACCACCATGCTTCACTGTCTTCACAGTGTACTGTGGCTTGAATTCAGTGTTTGGGGGTCGTCTGACAAACTGTCTCCGGCCACTAGACCCAAAAAGAACAATCTTCTTTTCATCAGTCCACAAAATGTTACACCATTTCTCTTTAGGCCAGTCAATGTGCTCTTTGGCAAATTGTAACCTCTTCAGCACATGTCTTTTTTTCAACAGTGGGACTTTGCGGGGGCTTCTTGCAGATAGCTTGGCTTCACATAGGCGTCTTCTAATTGTAACAGTACTCACAGGGAACGTCGCACCTTCTTTCATCTTCCTGGAGCTGATTGTTGGCTAAGTCCGCGCCATTTTGGCTATTCTTCTATCCATTCGAATGGTAGTTTTTCGCTTTCTTCCACGTCTTTCAGGTTTTGGTTGCCATTTTAAAGCATTTGCGATCATTTTAGCTGAGCAGCCTATCATTTTCTGCACTTCTTTATATGTTTTCCCCTCTCCAATCAACTTTTTAATCAAGGTACGCTGTTCTTCTGAACAATGTCTGGAACGACCCATTTTCCTCAGAATTTCAGAGAGAAATGCACTGTAACCAGCATGTACAACATTTGCTGCCTTCCTTCCTTAAATAAGGGCAATAATTGCCACCTGTTTTTCAAAGAATGAATGAGCTCACTAATAGAACTCCACACTGCTATTATTTTGAACATGCCCCTTTCAATTAGTGATTCAATTACACAGAATCAGCAGCATGCATGTCATGACTGTTGGGTCTGTTGGATTTCTATTACTCTACTACACCTGCTAGTAAATTATTTGCCATGTAGAAATATCATTTCTACCAAAAACAGTGATTGATCAGGTTAGTGATGTCTGACTGCTATTATTTTGAACACAACTGTATATATATATATCTTTGTGCTGACATCTTATGGCAATTCAGTGCAACTACAGCTTGTAATTGAATGCCTGTAAAATGGTAGTTTCCAGTTTACCTGCATATTTGGGCCAGTTGGTTTAGTGCTTAGATAGACACACACCCCCCCCTTCTTCTTCTTCACGTTCTCTCAGTTAGTTACCAGCCTTCATACTGGGCAAATGTCAAACTGATGCCCCTCCAGCTGTTGTGGAACTACAAGTCCCATCATGCCTC